TCGGATGTGGGTGATGTATGTCTCGAGCACTGTCGGGCAGGCAAGCAGCGGGGTGAGCATCTGGACAAGGATTCGATTCGAGGGAGAGGGAATGGAATGGGCAGAACCTACGCGATCCATCTACGTCCTTCTTGTTGAAGCAGCTGTCGATGATACGACGCTTCTCGTCCTCGAATCGCTGCGCCCTGTTGTCCATGGCTGCTCGCTGCTCCGTGTGGGCCGTCGGTCGCAGTGGGAGGGAGCACTCATGAGGGGGTTCGGCGGGCAGAGGGAGGCAGCATGCGCATGTTTATTTCGACGTTGGACGGCGATGCGGCGGTCGATGGGGCACTTCGAAGGGAGGGTGATGGCGGTTTGGTTGGGGAGGGCGAGGCGAAGTCGAGGTCGAAATTGAAGTGGGATCTCAAGGTCGTGGTGATGCGAGGCAGAAGGCGAGTGCTGTGCTCGTACTGTGTGCTGTGCTGTGTGTTCTTGGGGGTAGCTTGCTGCCAGCCTACCCGTTAAGGTAGCGTACCGCAGTAGAGCCTAGGTTGGGACCCGCTGCGAGTTTGGGGGGGAATGTCGCAAGTATCTTTTCTGCTGCAGTCTGGGGGCTCGAGGTAGTGCAGGACTAAGCAGTTCCCCTTCGTAGCGCCGCCACTTCATCACTCGAGGCTGGTGATCGTTAATTTGTGGCTGGTCTAGTCTTTGGCATGTTCATGGACTTTTTTAATTGAATTGCTGCCATTCTCGAGATGTTTCTTCTGCTGCATACGACCAATGCAACTCGTCAAGGTCGCGTACCGCTAAACACGTCGGTTCCGCATTGAACTCCACGATACTTTGGCGTACCTGCCCAATGCCTGTATATCTGCTACCTGACGGGAACTTGCAGCGGCCTCTGCTCCCCCCTGGGCCACCCAGTCGGGTGCTCAGGACGCGGTAGGGAGGATGGGATGCCACAGCGGAATGTGCCTAGGTTCCGCGTATGAGAGCGTCCGTACCGCCACCAATTGGCTTCTTAAGGTTCCCTCTCGCAATCGCATGGCTCGTTCGCCTGTAGTCTATCTTGAATCCCGTTTTTGGTGCATCTTTCAAGACGCCTAGAGGAAGCGTCGTCTTATCGCCGCAAGTATCGTGCGGATAATCCCACTTCACCGTGTCTCAGCCGAATCAAAAGCAACTTCGACGGCGACAAATCATCCTTATTTATGCTGGCTCTTGCAATCTATGCACTGGACCGTTATCAGACGCATCATCGGAGCAAGGTTGCCGTCAGAGAGCTCGGGCACTCGTCGTCATGCCTCCTACTCGTCCTTGTTTCAAGCTGCCCTGTCCATGGATGAGAAAAGGCGCCCCCTCCACACTCCGGTCGCTTCAACTGCCGGAAGGCCACTGTCCCTAGGCTTCCCTCGCCCGCCCTGCTGCCGAGCCTCCGGACACTTCTGACGCTGGGCTTGACGCTTGTCGGGCCGCCTCTGCCTCCGACCATGAGACGTCATCTTCCGTGTGACAGGGATCCTGCCGCTGCCGGACGACCACGATGCTCGGACCAAATCTTCAGTTCGCGCTTTTTGTCTTGTCAGGCCGCATGACTTCGTCTTCCAATGGCCTGTGCCCTCACACATCGGACGGCTGATGGACCCTGATATGTGATGATTTGACAAAGAAATTGTCAGCAAAACTTACCAACGCACAGTCATCTGTCTGTACATGGCATGCTGCAGCTCAACCTCGGCTTCATGTTTCTCACCTGTTTCTTCACTCATGAAGAACGGTAGCGGACGCCAGAAGGTGCCGATGAGTGTGGAGTATGAGATGGCTACTATTATCGACAGTGCCTTCATCCCCCGACGATGCCAGGAACAAGATCCGGTGTAACCCGTCTCAACTTCGAAAGGTGTCTATGGCTGCATGCTTCCAGCAGCACACTCTAGCTGAGCTTCGTTGAGATTCGTTGCTATCTTTTGGTTGGCGCAGCCTGTTCATAGCATACCCGCAGTCTTTCGGTAAGTCGTAGCTGGCTGTTTGCTCGAAGTACAAGTTTGACACATACTCTTCTTCAACATTCCTGAACTTACCTCCTACTTTTCTTTTACTGAAGCGATTATTCTTCCCGTGGATCCGCTGCCGTCGACGTTTCCGTCTCTGAATTTCGATGCTTTACTGTGGTCCTTAATCGAAGTAAAACTTCAACCCGACAAAGTACACAAGAGATCTAGCCACAAAGACATAGGAAAATCAGGCGATGCCTTCCTTAATTGCCATAGTCACTATTGTCGATGATGCTCATCTCATACCGTTTCTAGCTGTATGACCGTTTCCCGTGGTAGTTGTTTTCTCGATATGGTACCCCTCACTCTCATGTAAGCTCACATGAGCGCCAAAGTAATGTGTCAATCAACCGACAACGAAGTGAGAGACGACAGTAGAAAAGAAAAGGAACGACAAGAAGGACAACTGAAAATGTGAAACTCAACCCGCGAACCATCTTACCAGATCCATGGCTCTGGCTGGGAGAGCAAACGGCGACGAGTGATCTCACTGGATGACCGGGCCAACTGCAAACAGAACGGCTGCTGCTATCCGCACAACACATAGCTCGCCGGACAAGTTTGCGACGTATCATGAGGAGACAATCAGCGGGCGTGCCGCGGCTCTTGTGATATATCACACATACAGCAAAACGGCTGGGTGACCGCGAAAAGGGGTTTCCTGCGTGCTCTCCGTTTGGTTTGCCCTCTCCATGAGTTTCTAACCTCCTGTGGCAAACGGAAAGAAAAGATAAAGACGCCGCTTGGCCCAACGCAAGAACCAGACACGCTGTGGTATGAGTTACGAGGCACAATAGACGGCTCAATTCCAAGAGAATCGCAGCACACGTCTTAAACTTCGTCACCATGCTAGACCCAGTCCTCGAGAACGACGGTGCCGGAAAGGAAGGAAGTCATACCCAATATGCTCTGACCACAACACCTCCTCCACTGCGCTCAAGCTCAGCAAGTACCGGGCAGTCCTCCTTACCCAGAAACCGGCACAACCTCCCACGAGATCTTCAATCTCCCCGAGCCGAGCGTCTCACCGAGCTCCCATCTCCCAAACGCCTCACTCCGGAAGCCATGCTCACCCACCTCCACACAATCCAAGACGAAGAACAGAAGCGCCTCAGCAAGCGCCGCGAAAGCAGCACCGCCGTCGACATCATCAGCACCCTTCATCTCCCTCCCCCGTCCCCAATCACCTCGGCACCGTCACCACAATCTCCCACCGGCGGCGTCCATCCCCCTCAACCTCATGGATATGAAGCCGGCGGCGACGACGACAATGATGAACTTACCCTTACGACCCCTTACGCATCCTGCACCCCTCACCAGCTCTCCGTCGCAACATCTCGCCTCCACGACATAGCCCAGCAGTTCCAGGACGTGGTCGCCGGTCTCCAGGACGCCATCGCCCGCAGGCAGTCCACGACGACGACGCCTCCCCGCCCCGAGCTCCTGTCCCTCCAGGAGAGGCTGGCGCGAGTCCACTCCGTCGCCATCACAGAACACGAGATCGTCGTGCGGGAGGTCAAGGCGCGGAGAGGAGGTGGAAGAGTGGGAGGGAGAGGGGGAAGAAGGACCGAAGAAGCTTCCAAGAGATCAGGGGGCTATTATTAGGAAAGACCCGCCCACCAAAGACTCTCTCTGTCTTTCTCTGCTGGCCCTACCACTTTCGGTCGAACATCCGCATTTGGGGAGCCACCGCGGCGGGTAGTCGTGAGATTACCAACAACCGGGGGGAGGACACAGAAAGCGAGAGTTCCCCATCTCGGCATGGTGACTGAGACAGTGGAAGGTCCCCGTTTGGTCTGCTCCACCGTCCCGGCTTTTGGGGAATGAAGAGTGTCCGTAGAACCAACCCGAGCTCGCCTCCGGTAGTCGAGATGAGAGTCTCGTTTCCCGCGTGGCCATCTCCCGAAGACCCGGGACCGTTTTCCAGGAGCTAAGAATACAACCTCTCCACCCGGAACCGGGGGAATGTTACCGGTAACGTTGTATTATTGGTTTCTAGGGAAAGTACATCTTGTCAGGGCTTACATGAGAAGCGGGGGAGTTGGGATGAGAGAGAGGCGATGGGGGCGAAGAAGATCGTGAGAAGGACGAGGGGCGGACTACCGAGACGAGACATTGGGGCTTGAGATGAGTTATCCGTGAATATGACGCTATTTGAACGATTAGTTCAAGACCCATTAATGCAGAGTAGCATCAGCCAGATATTGAAGTCTATGGGAGCCAAGGTTGCCGGAACCCTGGCTATGTGTAAGGGACCAGATTCAACACATCTGTGGGGCATATTCATTTCCATAAACATGTGTGCTTCACAACTTACCAACGATTCACAATTTGATATTCAAATTTGCGGCACAACTCACTTTCATTGGCCCACTTCGGCGCATCTTTCTTAACGAGTTAAACGAAGTTGCTTTATGCTTCGGGCCTCTCTCAACTTGTGACGAACCCCCGGGCCGTGGCAATCCCACAGTGGAGAGGAAGGCCCCCACCCTTACCGTAGCGTGCCGGCACAATGGTAACACTAAGCAATTTGACAGGATCCGGAATGAGATACCGGAAATCATCTTCATCAGCCCGCAATCAAACCAGTGGGTAGGTCGGGCAGGCACCGCTGAGATCCAGCCCAAGTAGATCGGTCCATGGGCTGCCTCTGGTGTGGCTGCTTGTCGGCAAGCACAAGAAGCGGGTGGCTAGTGGCATCCAATGTGGTGATAGAATGATTCCTGTATTGCCCAACAGGCGATTTGTACTAGAACACCTAATAGCCAAAAAGTGACCCTGGGCTCCATCCGGGATGCCTCAGAGATGCTAATCCGTAAAGTAAGCTTATACAGCGGGCTGTCGCCCTGAATGCGAGCTGCGGCGCAGAAAGAAAAAGGAAATGCCGCAGCCTTTTTGTCCTCCGGTTCAACTTTTTGAGCGTTCTCAATCCATTTACATTGGGAAGATGCCGTATCCAGCATCGATTCAATCCATATACATCGGATCCCCCCGTACCTGGGACATTACCATTCCCATGTCGCCGCCGTGCATGGCCTGCATCGTGGCCTGCATATTGGGCATTGACCGACTCATGTTGATTGCGCCCCGATTCGCATTCGGATTTCCGTTCTGCTGCACGAACCGCGCGTCACTCGCACCCCTCTGCACCGGTCTCGTCCGAGGAACATCGAGAGTGGCTTGTCGTTGCACCGGCTGCATGGGTTTTGTGGTTGGCGTGTTCATGACTGCGAAACTGTCATCATCCTCCATCTCTGCGTCGGCATCGGCATCGGCATCAGCATCCTGATCGCTGTTCTCGTCGATCGAAGGCGGACCGCTGATCGATGCACCTTGGTCACTAAGGCCGTTGGTGCTTGTTGTCGATTGCCGCTGTACAGCAATAGGCTGCTGCTGGACCTGTTGCTGCATCTGCTGTTGCACCTGCTGCTGAACCTGTTGTTGTTGCTGCTGCTGTTGCTGTTGCTGCTGCTGAGGAGGTTGCGGCTGCAATTGTTGCTGTGACTGCTGCTGGAGTTGTTGCTGTTGCTGTTGGGGAGTCGGGGTCGGGGTGGGTGTGTTGCTGTTCGTCTGGTCCAAAGATCTCTGCGCATTCATACCGTTACTGGCGACACGAGATGATGCGATGACAGTCTTCCATCGTCCAATACTCTTTTCAACAACTTCGTTGATGTCCGAATGCCTGTCCTCCAGGCGCAAACCAACACTGCGGCCGATGCCGCTAACACCATTCTCCAACACGTGGGCTATGTGGTGACGGTCAAAGGGTATCATGGTAGGGGCGAAAAGCTTGAACTCCCGTGGTTGTTGTAGGCGATTTAGCTGGTCGATCTGAGACTTCAAGTGAGCGTTTTCCTGCTCCAACTTGTGTTGCGCGTCTTTCATCTTGCTGATCTCCGTCTGCTTTCTGCCCACACTCCTCGCCATTTCCAAAAGCCATAGTTCGTTACGCCTCTGGACGGGCAGAGAGTTCCAGACAGTGAATGCCGACTGCAAGTGTTCGGTGACCTGCTTCTCAAGGTTCTCGGCAGACTTTTCGGCCTTCTTAACAGCCTCACGAGCGTCCCGGTAGGGTCCATCTCGGGGAGGGTACGTCAGCTCCTCCACTGCTGCCGTGGTAGCAGTCGCGCACTTGATCTTCCAGTTGCTGAACTCTTCCTGGAAGAAAGCCCGCAATGCATCATACTCTCTTTGGCCTGGCGACTGCACAGACCAGGAAGTAGATGTGGGATGCTGGGTTGAGGAAAAAAGGGTGGGCGGAGAGGCGAGACATTGCAGTGTTAATGCAGGAAAGTCCAGGGCAAGCGGATCAAAGTCAAAAGGCATGGAGTTATTGTCGATATGTTGCCTGTCACTTGTCAGTATACACGCCCGTCTTCTCTGACCAGCATGACGTACTTTGCAGCTCTCAGTGAACTGTAGAGCTCTCTGAAAGCGAGCTCCGCCGCGCGCGCATTGTCCATGGCGTCGGCGAGCTTGTGCTTCTGATCGAAATTTGCCTTTTGCATGACCTGCTTGCTCACTTGTCTCTGTCTCTTTCCAGCATTCTGGCTGCCCTCCCCGTCCGTGGAGTTGGCGGTTTCGCCGTTGGGGGGAATGTTGTTGATCACGCCAGTGGCCTCCCATGAAGGGGTCCAGGGATACTTGCTCAGCGTGGAGTCAACAGCATATTGACCGTCCTTTGGAAGGGCGGGAGACTTCTGCGGCTCGGAGTCTATGGTGGCATCGCGCTTGGCCGGCGCAGGTCTCGGTGTGCCAGCCGGGGTTGAGACGTTCCTACCGCCTGTGGAACCCCTGGGCTGTCTCCGTGTGATGCCTCCTCTCACGCGCCTGATCGCTTCGACATCGTGGATTCCATCGGGGGGCTTGGGGTTCTTCTCCTTGATGTAGAGATCGAGATGTCGGCCGAGAGAGGAGGAGGTGAACGCCTGGCCACAATATTGACAGTTCTTGTCCTTGGGGGCGCCCAGTTTCTGTTGGTTCGAGTCGGCGTTGCTCGCGGTTTCGGCCATTGTCGCTCGACTTGCGTGTTCCTAAAAGAAGTGGTGGGTAAGGTAATGAGCGGATCGAAGTTCGGCAGGTAGAGGTTGTGAGCTCTGAGCGTGGCTACAGGCCGTTCGCGCGAAAGGGCTCTTGCAGCTGCTCCGGGGGAGCTATGCGGTCGATGGTCATACGGTAGGGTATGTATGTAGTTGTGGTTGTGTGTAGTTGTATACGGAAAAGATTCCAAAAACAAGAGCAAGCAAGATTTAAAAAGTTGTATGGTGATAGTTACGGCAAGGAAAGGAAAAGGGCGTGGAAAGGACGGAGTGGATGCGACACAAGGAGAAGAACGAATGAGGGACAGAAAGATGATGTGCTGAAGAGCTAAACGAGTGTGGTAAGAGAAGGAGGTCGGTGGGAGATGTCGAGAAGCAGCAGATGCTTGCCAAAAGCCGGAGCGAACAGAACACAGCTAATCCTGGTGATGACCGGCAGGTAGTCGGGGGACACGGGGAGGAGGCGGTTCGGATCGGGGAGGCAGTCGGGGCGTGGCGAGGCGAGGCTCTTGCGAGAGAGAGGAATTCTTCAGTTTCGGGAAAGTCGTGTGACAAGAATTAAGGAAGACTCTCGCCTTTTGCAGTCTCTATTTCATCCGTGGACGCTCGCAGTCTCTCGAGACCTCTATCGAGTGGAAAGAGGTAGGGGGGGTGGAGGAGGGCAGTCGGGGAGGAGGTGGAAAGTAAAGTACAGAGTAAGGGGAAGTGCAAAAATGTCACCCGGGATTTAATTATTGCAGTTTTTTTAATAAGGCAGGACGGCAGGGGTAGCACCACCGACCCGCGCCAGAAAAAAGTCGAGCTCCCCCCCCATCCAGTTCCCCCAGATTGGCGCCAGTGGCAGCACAGACGGAGCCAAGGACGGCCCAGATCAAGCCCCCTTCAGGGCCGTACGGTGGTCCCACCTCGCCCTGATGCCGCTGAGCATCCGTCAGTGTACCCGTATGCAGCAGGCACCTGTCGATGAACATCTATTCATTCACATTGGCCCAGTGTTCGTGGGGCTCGATTTCAATCCAATACAATTGCACCAGTAGGTATCTTATACAATGGATGTACGCCACGGATATATGCAAGAGCTGGTGCAGGTGCAGCAGCAGCCCGGCTCAGCGATGGAGACGACTTACCTTAGCACATCACATCTGCCACCACCTTCCGTGAAAAGGTACCTCCCGTCGCTACCTAGCACGGCAAGGAGCTACCTCCTACCTTACCTACCCAAGCACCTAGGTAAGGTAGGGTTCATCTCTCCAATCAAATAGCAAGCACGGTACGTACCTCTTATTTCATCTCTCCCGCCCGTCATCTCGACCAACGGCGCCCCAAGGCCATCGACCAACAACTCTCTTTTCTTCTGTTTCTATTTCTATCCCCAAGGCGCGCACTCAGATCAACCGAGACGGATTCCTCTCCTGGACTTCTCTCAGCATCATCATCGCGTCTCGGGCCCCAATGACGCCTCGCCGTTGGCCTACCGTGCCCACCAACTGTTCAGCAGCAAATGTCCAAGAACATGGCCACTGAACCAATCGACACGCACATGTCTCCAAAGCACGTTGACTGCCTGTCCGCGGCCACCCTCCCACCGAGGGTCCCTGAGGTATTTCACATACCAACCTGCACCCTTCATGGTTCAGACACACGGGCTTCCCGCTCAGCATCTCGCTCGCTTCCTCGCTCTTCCATTCCAGCCGCATGCCCTCTCACATGTGCACGTCGTTCGGTTAGTGCTGATCTGGCCCGCGGAAACGAGAGGGACAGCCCGGCACCGCCCTATGCATCACTTTTACTGGCCTAGCGGTCTTGGGGGTACACGGCGGAACTTTTGATTCCAGCACCCTGCCCGACGACTGTTGTCTCTTGCCCGCTCCAGCAGGTGTCCAAGGGCTCCCACGGGTTCCGTAGGAGAAATCCCTACCAGAAAGACACATATCAACCCTGCCCTGCCCTGCCAAGCTGCCCTATTGACCCCGAATCGAGTTGGGCTGCCGAAGACTCTGACTCGGAGCGACCTGAAAAGGTCTACAAATCGGGACCGGCCGCATATTGCGCTGCAGATGGACGGATACTTGGTGCGCGACGGCACTGACAGCCGTCGCCGCTCGCAGAGGTGGATGATACCGTGCCTAGATAGCTCGACAGCCGCACCCTGTCCAGTCCAACATCAAAGACGCGGATGGCACCCAACCGCAGCGCTCTTCTTAACATCTTCCAGCTGGCCATCTTGGATGAAATAAATCCTGGCTAGACTGGCCGACCGGGGCGCGCGTTGGCATTTCCGGCTCGTTTCTTTAGGCTCCTGGGTCCCACCGGCTTGTGTCCGATCCATTTTTTCAGGGGCATTCCGGGAGATCATCCAGGGGAGCCGGTGAAGGACCAGCGGCGCCAACAGACCTGACAGCTTTCGTCTCAAGGACATTGCGCCCCTTTGGTTTCGCTCATTGAGATATCAGGGAGCACCAGTAGACGGGTTGCGGACAGCGCTGGTCGGTTTCGGCGAGAGTCCGACGACTTGTTTTCCCCTCCCCGACCTTTTGTTTCTCTGTGTTTTAGTCCGGGGATACCATCCGGCCCTCAGGGCCCCCGTTTTCCTGCATCGAATAATGGGGTTGGCATCTGCAGGACGCGACGCAGCAAAGCGATAAATATAGTCCGTTGCACTGACAGCGTCCGCCCCCCTTTTTTTCCCCGCTTATACAAAAACATGAAAAAAAGCCTATTATACGCTATAATATGTATTTTCCCACATTATACGCAAAACGCGCTAAATCTATTACTAATACCTTAATTATTATTAATTACCATAGTTATGGTAATATTGAAATATATAACTATATAATAAAGATATAAAGTATATATTTAGTATTTTTATAATAGTTAACTTATTTATAGAGATACGACTAATTTAGCTAGTTACTTTACTTTTATATTAATTAATTAATAAAAATATACTTTATTTTTATAAAAGATTAAAATAATATTTATTAAAAAATAGAAAAAAAGACCTATTTTATAACTTTATATGTTTATTTAATATATAGTCTATATAGCTCTAAGTAGTATAAAAATATGTTAAGAAGCTTAATATAATTCTTTAAAGTAAATAATTTTAATAGTTAATAAAAATAATAACTTTTTAGATAGTTTAATTTATTTATAATTAAAAATTTATTATTATATAAATTATATTTAATTACTAATTATTACCACTAAATAATGTATACTCATGGTTGATTGTATTAAATATATTAAAAAAACGCTAAGTAATAATAATAATATAATAATACTTAAACATTAAATCTATAGCTATTAATAATTATAATAATATTACTATTTAAGAACTAAAAAACCTATAAACTAATAAATACTATTAGCTATACTAAGTGAGTAAATTAATAATATAAATTATAATATAGCATTACTAATAAAATATAGAGATATAAAAAGTATGACTAAAATTAATAAGAAATAGAAATATAATATTACATAGAGCTTTTTAAACTATTATAATATTATAGTAATCTATCTCTTAAAAAGATATAAAATTTCTTATTTAAAATTTTTAAAATCTAAATTAGTTATTTTATAATTAGTTAATAATTAAATTTATCTAGCTAAATAAATAAAAAGTTTTTAATTATTATTATTTAATAAAATAGTAAAATATAATATAAATATTTATATTTTACATAATAATATTATTTTAATTAGTTAGTTTTTATTAATAAATCTAATATTAATAAAAATATTAAGATATAAAAAGCTAAATAAATATTAAACAAAACTTATTATATTTTAAACTATAGAGATTAATTAGTTTTAAAACTTTTATATATAAATCTTATTAATCTTTATATTAAATAGTATTTTATATTTAACTATATATTATAGTATAACTAATAGTAATAGCTTTTTTTATTAGCTATAAAAAATTGTATTCTAAAAATAAGCGTTTTCTAGAACTAAACTCTCTTATCATTATAAATAACCTCTCTTACTATTATAAATTTTAAATTAAAGATTTATACTAAATATTAAGTATTAATCTTAAATTTCTACCTTTATATGTATTAAATTTTAATTTTATTAAAAGATATTTTAGTAATCTAAAGTAATATATTAAAAAAAAGTATTTAAAATGGAATAATAATAATAAGAATAATATTTAAGATTTTATAGAACATTTATATAATTATATTATAAAGATTAAATGTTATCTACTTTAAATTAGGAGTTATTTCTATTATTTATTTATTAACTTTAATAAGATAAAGTATATATTTAATAATATTTGACTATAAAAAAGAGAATAAACTATAAATATTAACATTAATAAGTATTCTAAATCTTTATTGTATAATTATAATAAATCTTAATTATATTATTATAAAATAGAGAATTATTAGATTTATAATTAACGTGGTTCATCAGTCAGCCGGCCAGACCAGTCAGCCGGACGTTTTTTTCTAAACACTCTTACGTCCAAATCACTTAAACCTTTGACGCGTAAAATCTCAACAACCATAATGCTAATCTATACCTCAGAAGACAAAGTTATTCTTGCGATTGAAGCGATCCGATCGACACGTGCTGCAGGTAATAACTTAAGTATTTCGCGTGCTGCAAAGACCTATGGTATCCTAAAGAGCACCTTAGCTGATAGAATGAATAACTGACTGCGATGCGAACAAGCTTAACCCTAACAATATAAACTTGATCTGATTGAAGAGAAAACACTTCTCTAATATGTTATTGAACAGGATTCCAGAGGATTTCCTTTCCGCCTTAGCGGTGTGGAAGATATGGCTAATCTCCTGCCGCAAGCCTATAATGGCAAGCCTGTTAGCAAGCGATAGGCCAGGCGGTTTGTGGACTCACAGCCTGCTCTGAAAACCAAGTTTAATTGTCTATATAATTATTAAAGGGCTCTTTAAGAAGATCCTAAGGTTATATTAAAGTGGTTTATGCTATTA